GCGGCTGGATGGCGGAAGCTCCTTCACCCTCTCTAGTACAAACACTCCTCTCTCCTCGCCTCCCTCTCTTCCTCCCTTTTAAACAGCCGTTTAGGATTGAGGGATGAGAGGACTTCCTCTTTAGAGAAGGCACATCTTTAATTTGAGCCTCCTCTCCTTCCACTTTTCTGACCAGAGATCCATTTAAAGCCAATGGGCCGCCCTGGCGCTGGCACCCCTCTCCTTCCTTTCCCTCTCTGCTTCTCCCTGCCAGGCCTCCCTGACTCTTTTTCTCTGTCCTCTCATCTCACCCTCATTGCTCTGTTATTGATGGTGACACGCTGTCTGCCGCTCCAGTGACCACACACATTCACAGACACACAGTTCTTCTCCCCAGGATCCCAGCAGATGCCTTGTGTTCACCTGCTCTCCCCGGCTTTGGACCATAATATGTTTCAATCTGTCACATACTTGAAGTTGGCTGCACTGAATTTCTCGGTGTATCCTCGGAGGTGTAGGCCCGGCAGCCGGCTCCAACTTAGTCATAGTGCATTCCTTGAGTAGAGTTGTCAGTCACACACAGAGTTTGGGACTGTGGCTCACGAACAAAGGCCCGTGCACGCTCACGTGCACGCACATGCGGGCTCCTTCGTCTCTCAAGCGAGACACACACCCAATTCATTTTTGCTCCGACTTGGAAGTTTAAAAAACTTGCTATTTCTGTGACATCCTCTTTTCCATCTTCCTCTCTCTTTCCTCCTTCTTTCTTTTTCCATCTCAGTCTCTCCACACATCCTTTTGTGTCTGTCTGAGTCCGGAAGGCAGTCATGCAACCAGACTGATTAATAATTACAGAGTACACAAAATTGGGAGAGAGAGAGAAAAAAAAGCTGTTTCTTTGTCGTTTGATGTCCAACATGAGAGAGACCAAAATTACAAAGAGACAGAACCCTATAAAGAGGAGAGAAAGCTTGCACATTCCTTTCTCAATCCTCTGCTTTTGTTCTTTGCTTTTTTTTATTGCCTCCTTTTCATTTTGCAGTTTTTATCTCCTCTGTCTTTCTGTGTTTCTGCATGTTTCCATCAGTGTTCTATCTTTATAAACACTTAGAGTCGCTTCTTTGATTATGGGACGGGGATGAATCATTCAACTCAACTTTGTCAGTGTGTGTGTGTGTGTGTGTGTGCAGGCAAAGACTGTATTTTCTCTGTAGAATAGTTAGTTGTTTTTAAAGAGTTGTGTGTATCTGTGATGCTCTGAGCGCTACCTGCTGCTCACACACACACACACACACACACACACACACTCCACAGTCTTTTTGAAATACAGACAACTGTGTGGAGAATCGTGTCTTCTAATTGGTTTAAAGTTTCGCCCACTGGCCACAGATTCATTCTTCCTTCTGCTCGTGTGTCCGAGGAGAATAATTATCCAAACACTGTTGGAGTGTTCATTTAGTGTGTGTTAGGGACACACAGCGCTGTGTACGCTGCACACTGCAGACAACCTGCACCGCCACCCATCGTCTTCCCAACAGTGTCATCTGTGTGCATTAATCAGACAAAGGCTCCGGGAGCAGTGCAGGAGTCCTGCAGTGAACTGGGATAGCTGCACATTCACTGTGAACTTGTGTGAATAGTTCATCAGTTCCTACGCTCCTGTTTTCGGTGGGGAACCAAAAGGAGCGACACGACAGGTGAATAGGGTCCAAGTTTGAACCAGCGGATGGACAGTGCTGTTGATTATTGGCACTGAGACAGTTATTCTTTTAAATGACTGTATTATTTATATATTAGTTTTGTATTTTCTATGGAAATATCACTCCGTAAGTCAAAAAGGTGTCTACAGCCAGGATAAAATCCTTCTCAGCATATTTTTAGAATATTGTGATATATAAGCAAACCCCTCTGTAGAAATCTGTAGACTGAAGATAGGAATACGTGCTGCTGAAGTGGAGACGTCTGGCTCACGGTGGGACAGTGGGGTTTAGTAGAACCCAGTACTTACAGGTACAATGTAAACTAATAAATCACCAAGTCATCTTTATTTTAAGTGTTTTTAAGTATTGCATAAATGTCCAAAAGACAAACGTATATAAAATAAACGTGTTCATGTTGTTATGGAAGCAAAATAGGCCGCAAGTTAGAAATGACTGCTTTATAATGCTATGTTCTTGCCTGTAGTGTTTTTGTGTGATTAAGTAAAAAAACAGACTATGATCTGCATGTCCTTTAAAAACAACTAGTTTAACCTACAGCCGTCCTCACATGTGTTCATCTCCTTCCATTAAAGGAAAGACCAAATCCACCACAGTCCCTCAGATACCTGGAAACTGGAAAAAGTAATGATGAATAAAAAC